TTTCTAGAAGCCTTAAATATTGATGAAATAATATATATATTATTAAAACTAAAATGTACTGTTAGTGAAAAAATAAAAAAGTTAAATTAAAAAATAGTTGTTGTAGTATAGTAAAAAATAATTAATTAAAAAATAGTTGGTACTTTAAAAATACAAAGCAACTGTAAAGAAAGGTTCACAATATTTACACAAAATTTGCTATGCTTGTATACCGCTGACTTCAGGGTCATAGCTGGATAATTTATTAGAAATCTCGTTTGTTTTAAAATGCACTATAGGCAGTTATATTTCATGCATAATCCATAAAATATTATTTTTAACTTAAACATTTTTAATTCATATCTCTTTTTATAGAAGTTATAAAAATAAGATTTTTCTCTTTATATATATACACACATTAGGTAAAGAAAATGGAAATATTTAATTAATTAATTCATGTACTTCTGCCGGAGAGGACTGAATTTAAAAGCAATTATGATACTTGCACTTGATTTACATATGCTCTCAGAATTTAAATGATATTGTAGATTAGTTCGCAGTAATAATTAATCATTTATTTGTTTGCATTAAATTTCATTTAAATTTAATTAACTTTAAATTTGCTTTTTACGAATAGAGAATGTTTGTTAAATTCAAATATATATGTACAGGGTATGTTTTAAATTAGTAGTATATAATTTTCAAACTTTTTTGCGGGAGGAAGTTTAAATAAATAAGAGCATAAATAAAACAATATATTTAACGCTTATAATAATAGAAATAAATTATAAAACACGAATATAGATCAAATTGGAACAAAAAGCTGAATAGAAAGTTGCAGACGGGGTGCAAAAAGCATATGGGATTCGAACTCACGACCCCCAAAAGTAAACATGATTACCGTCAGCTTTACCACTAAGCTAGCATCACACGAGAGACGTATGCATATTTTGGCTTATATACATCATCAAGTAAATCAATTCTTAAAACTAAATTTTTTGGTCCTATTTCAGTGTGCTGTCGTTTGAAAAATTCACCAGAGTTTGTTCTTCAGCTTTTAGTACATTTTTTACAAAAAAACATTATCTTTTAAAGTGGCGTTCCGACTGAAGTTAAACGGGCTGCTAAAAATATATTTCATGTGCTTACAAATATATATTAGCCAAAAAGATATATTTATAAAGGGAAATACAAATTTAACATTCTCTTCAATGAACTGGATTATTTAAAAGGCTATCAAATTTAATTTATAATTAACGTTTTTAGTTTTACCTATTTCAAAAGAAAAAATAGCAAATCTTTTAATCATATCTAATTTGCTATAGCAGTTTGATATAGTCAGACATTCATTTTCATTAAAGCTAAATGAGTATGCAGAACTAGGAAATGATTATCAGAACAAATTTTGCTATTTCATAGACTTTGAATTATAATTTTTGCCGCTGATTTTCTTGAACTGAATTTCTTGAACAAACAAGTACTGTAGTTGCAGTTATCTTGTTTTTCTTATCTTTTTTTAACTAAATTCAGCTGATTGCTATCTTTTTCAGCATGCAGATTTCTCGCTATAACGTTAATTCAGAAATAAGTATTTTTTAGCAAAACGTTCTTTTCCTAAGCGAACGTTCATCGCTATTCCGCCGCCATTAATTTTGGGCGACTACACCTTATTGCTCCTTTTTTACCACGTGACCCCAACGCATCCGCAGACATACGGATAGAAGTTGCAGATTGATTGCAGATGTCAGTCAAAGTGAATTTGCTCGCTGATTGGAGAAACGCATACGCAGCAGTGGACACGGGCCTTGACGAATAGAAAATTAATAAGTATATGCACCGATGACGGTGGGGAATTCCGTAACAGGCAATTCGAAGGAGTACTTCAGCCGAAAATGGAATTAGTGTTGAACGCACAAATGCATACACCCCAGAAGGAGAACGGTGTGTGTGTGTGAACGTTTTAACCGAACGGCATTAGACACAGTTAAAGCTATGCTTCAATGATGGTAAAATGGGAAAAGAATGGTGGAGCAGAAGCTCTTGGCTGTTTTCGTACATACGTGGAACAGAGTATGTCATAAAAGCAACCGAACCCCTTATGAAATGTTCCTAAATAGAAAACCCAGCATTGTTTATTTTAAAATATTTGGTTGTAAAAGCCTATGTTGGCGTGCCAAAACAGATTAGAAATAAATTACAAATGAGGTGCAAAGAAGGAATCATGGTAGGATATGCGAAGGAAACTAGGGGTTATAGGATATGGCTGCCAGAAGAACGCAGATTAATAGAAACCTGTAATGTGAAGTTCGATGAAAAACTGAATGCAGCAAATGGCATCCTGGAACAGAAATCAAAAACTAAGTTTAAAAGTTTTGTGCTGTCGTTTGAAAAATTCACCAGAGTTTGTTCTTCAGCTTCTAGTACATTTTTTACAAAAAACATTATGTTTTAAAGTGGCGTTCCGATTGAAGTTAAACGGGCTGCTAAAATATATATTGCATGTGCTTACAAATATATGTTGGGTAAAAACATATATTTTATAAAGGGAAATACAAATTTAACATACTCTTTAATACAGTGGAATATTTAAAAGGCTATCAAATTTAATTTATAATTAACGTTTTTAGTTTTTACCTGTTTCAAAAGAAAAAATAATAAATCTTTTAATCATATCTAATTTGCTATAGCAGTTTGATATAGTCAGACATTCATTTTCATTAAAGGTAAATGAGTATGCAGAACTAGGAAATAATTGTCAGGATAAATTTTGCTATTTCATGGACTTGGAAATATAATTTTTGCCGCTGATTTTCTTGAGCGCCTGATTTTATCTGCGAACAAGTACTGTAGTTGCAGTTATCTTTATTTTTCTTATCTTTTTTTGACTAAATTCAGCTGATTGCTGTCTTTTTCAGCACACAGATTTCTCGCTATAATGTTAATTCAGAAATAAGTATTTTTTAGCAAAACATTCTTTCCCTAAGCAAACGTTTATTGCTACTTCTGCCGCCATTAATTTTTGGTGGCTGCACCTGATTGCTCCTTTTTTACCACGTAACCCCAACGTATCTGCAGACATACGGATAGAAGTTGAACATTGTTGAACTCCATCTGTATGCCATCCGTCACTGCACATCGACTGGATTGAAGATGTCAATCAAAGTCAATTCGCTCGCTGATTGGATAAATGCATAGACACCGCAACGCATACGCAGCAGTGGAAACGGGTCTTAAGGGTAATATATGTTATGTGTATTCGGATACAAATGGTAATTAATGTGTTAAATTGCATTTTAGTTTCTTCTATGCTGTCATTATCATCATCATCAGAATTTTCTTCCATTGGCTATGTCAATAGCTTCATAATTTTTTTTTATAATAATTTCTATATTCATCAAAATTTGTCATCTAATCTTCAAATTCTTTTTAAATCTTTTGTTCATTTTTTCTTTTAGTTCTTCTGCTTCAACCTTTATTGGATTCTAAATCTAGAAATTTCACTCTTTTTTAATGAAAGTTTAATATGACCATATATTCTACCATATATTTATTAAAATAGGTTTGAAAAACAGAAGTAAAATGAGTATTTTAGTTCCCACGTTTAAAGTGAATGCCCGTTTAAAGGATAAATATTAATTAAGCTTTTTAATCAAGTGAAAGAAATAATGATAAACCATTATGTCAAATTTAAAACAGTTTTTTGATAATCCTTTTAATTTGATCTTCTAATGGCACCATCTTTAGATAATCATTAGGAAGAATTTCAGATGATTTTGATCCTCTGTGAGGGTAGTTAGGAAAAAATTCTGGTACTGTTCTTTTCTCGGGACCGGATTCGGAAATATATCGACGTATAAATGTGTGTCTGTATGTATGTGCATATGTACACACACACACATTTATACTTATATATATACATGCATACATAAACACATAAATGCATGTATTTCCGAACCTGGTCCTGATAATAGGAACAGTACTAAAATTGTCAGTAGTAGTCAATCCAGTTCTTAACACCTCAGAAAGGTATATTGCTTTTAGTTAAAGATCAAATCCTGTCCATCACAAATAAAGATCAGAGGTCTGAGAACTTTTTCTTGTCAATAAGCAATGCATAAGGACTTTTGTTCATCTCTTTATAATATCAAAGAAGATAAAAGTACTGTGTTCATCAGTGTAATAATTTAAATCATATGAAAAGTTTATTTATTTTTACATCTAGATCTCAGTAATATTTTGAAACCAGGATTTTTTATAGTATAACCACAATAAATGAAATACATTTTTAATATTTTATTTTATTCTTGTTTTTAAATATAATACATAATGTCAACTTTTTTGAATTTTTTAAAACTTTTTTGAATTTACAAACCGGAGTGCAAAAAAAAAATTTTTTTTTCCACATTTAGGAGTTTTTTATAAGATGCTAAGCAACTCTAGCAAAGATGCTAGCAGCAACTCTCATTAATTATTTTTGTGAAGCTTCAGATTATTATTTAACTTAGATGTAATTCTAATTTTATATTTCTATTTTAAGTTGCAGCCAAAAGTATTGGCTAACTGTCTAAGCACTAGGAGTACTGTCTGTTAATTACTTCTTGAGTTGAATGAAACCCTTTACATATCTTCTCATTAATCTCATTTCTTTTTACCCTTTACATACCTTCTCATTAATGCAATTTAAACTTGGTGAATAGTCATTTCACAGTTCGCCCACCAGCGGCCGAGCGGTAACGTCGCAGAACACTGGTAGTTCGGTCCAAGATTCGAATCCCGCGGGCTGGCTGCATGGGTGTTTTCGTGGTTTTCTCCATGTGTAACGTGTATACGAGCCAGTTTCCCTTAAAAAGTCCTCCACGAAGGCATCCCTCCCTTGAGGCAGATAGCCCTCGAGTGCTTTGCCATAATCTAATAAACCAAGCCAAACCAAACCATTTCACAGTTCAAGTAAAGATCTGACCATCCAAGTAAAGTTAATTTAGCTAGAATCTCACAGTTGTATTAAAATATGGTACTTTCAGACTATCTCACCAAAACGTCTCCACAGTCTCACCAAAAAACACAGAAAAGTACATACTGGTGAGACAAGGCATGATGTCGCTGAAAAGGATTTATGTAGTGGCTGCCTATATGACTTATGCTGGAGCAGGGCCTGTTAATAAGCATACCTGGCAAGAGTTAGAAAGGTAACTAAGAAAACACACTATTTTCAATATTTTCGGATTTTCTGCATCTCCATTGTATAGAATTGTATGTTTTTTTGGGGGGGTATTTTTAAGTATATGCAAGGTAATAGCCAACCCATGCATTTACATACCATACATGTATTTTAGAACATGAGGATTTATAATGCTTTTTACACTGGTTTCTAAAAATTAAAGAAAAATCACAAAAATACCAATAATTCATTCAAAAATAAACCAATCCATATAAAATTTGAATGTGTTGTCAAATAAGAGTTGCTGAGTAAAACTGTAGTTTGCAAACTAGTGCCATTGCCATAAAATTACATCTATGAGCATAAAATTGCATGTTTGAGAGCAAGTGTACAAATTTCATTGTGATACTGAGATAAGAAATCTGATATAGCCAATTCGTAACAATTTCCTTCAGGCAAATGATAGACTTTGGCAACTATTTCTAAACAAAAATTTGGCCAAGGTTTCGGAGATTCAGCCAAAGACGGCCAACTGCTATTATAAGCACCGATGACCGATATTTGTTGTTATGGACAAGGAGTAGAACTGCAACTATGACTCAACTCAGAACCTTCTTTACTGCAGCCACTGGAAAGTTAGTGTCAACATCAACCATGCGTAGAAAGCTTCACGAAGGTGGATTCTATGCAAAGCGACCAACCATTTGTGTGCTGCTCAAATCATGTCTTAAAAGGGAATGTTTGAGGTGGGTACATCAACGTGCACTGGACGGCTCATCGCTGGAGGACTATTCTCTTAACGGAAGAGCGATAGTAGGCATTAGTTGATTTGGAGAGAACCTGAAATCCGTTATCATTCATTAAACATCCTTGAAAGAGATGCATATGGAGGAGGCAGTGTCTGTGTTTGGGGTGGCATCTTTTTGGGTGGACACACAGACCTCCATGTTTCTCCATGTGGAATGAATGTTCAGACCTATAGAAACGACATCATTGATGCTTATGTGTGCTTTTATGCTGGGACAATGGGTGATGATTTCCTTCTACAAGATGGTAGCGCTAAACTGCACAGGGCTCACATTGTGGATGATTATCTTCAGCAGCAAATGTTTCAGCACGTGGAGTGACTACCTCACTCACCAAGAGCTGAATTCTATCTAGCATGTTAAGGATGCTTTTGGAAGACATATAGTTAACTCTCAGTTCTCCTCTTCAGACCCTTGCCATTGCTTTGCAAGAGCAATGGCTCTCACTTCCTATGGAACTAACAGACCGCATAATTAACAGCATCACAAATTTCTGTAGGTGCTGTATTGCTTCTAGGGGAGATTGTACTCCATATTGAAAGCAATTTTCCTTTACTGAACTGACACATCTGATTTGTTCATTTTATACATGTGCTAATTTCCATAACATAGTATTGTCTGGTAATTTCTTTTCATGTAATTTTGTACTTAACTATGCATTGTATACTGTGGGTAAGTTTCATTAAATTCTACATATAATTTTTGAGTAATCATCATTCTTGTGATTTTTCCTTAATTAATGATAACCAATGTATTTAATTACATGCACCAGCTGTAAAAATGTAAATATTGGTCATGTGGATTCTACCTGCCGCCTCGTAATTTTTTCTATTTTTTTTAATTATATCTTTTTATTATTATTCATGAACACAACAATATATGTGAATAATAAAGATAGCCAAATGCTTTTTGGCATTTAGGAATGTATTGGCAACATTTTGTGGGGTTGCGGATAATTCAGAAAGTGCCTTATTTATCCCAAGAAGCAGTTGAAATTTCTGGTGTTGGGATTTATAAAAAAACTTGCTGAAGAAGGCTAAGATAGGTTATTTAAACAAAGCGGTGTCCAATTTAATAATAAACTTAATTTATAATGTTTTTCAGTTAATGGTGCACTCCTTATCACCAAACATAGCCATGAGATCTAGTTAGATGGCAGCAACCCCAACAGTGTATAAATCTTCATGAAAGGAATAGCTATTTTACATATAATGAGTATCTAGTTTATTGAGCAGAATGCCAAATTTGTGAATTCTCCGGTGTTTTTTAAGCGAAAACAGATCACTGTTTACATGGTGAGAACAAAACGTTCCTCCCGTATACAAAGCAGTCTGTTTTCATTTTTAAAAAAATTAATGGTTTGCATAAATTTGGCATTTAGTACAAATTCAGTGAAAAATCTGCACTTCAATGCAAAAGCAGCTGAAAAATCTTAAGATGATAATTTGTTCAATTGATGTACATTCTTCCTATTTGTAGCTTATGATGCTGTTGCCTGTGTAATTTAAACAGACTACAACATTTGGCGATTTGACACACATTTGGCAACTGGTGTCCTGTTAATAAGAAATCACCATTTTTTTCCTTGTTATATTCATTTATTACATATTGTGACTCATCACCTTTTTTATCTTAATTACAGCTCAATGTAATTATTCTATTTTTTATAACTTGTCTTTTGAATTAATTCGTAATTAGTTATGCTGTTTTAAAATGTATAATATTGTGCATTGTGTAAAAAAATTAATGATAATTCCTTATTTCAATTCCCATTTTAAATCATTTGTGTTGTATGTTGGAAGGAGCCTATTGCTTGGGAAAGCTACTAAATGTGTTTAAAATAAAAATAAATTAAGAAATCTAAATGTATTTTTTTAAAATTTATATTATATCATTTTTTGTTTGATTGGTTGTAAGGTATAATGTCCATAAAAAATGTACACACTTATTGATGTTTCATTAAGATAACTGCAGATTTTTTCTTCAGGTTTCCTAAAAATCCAGAGTTAAGAGCAGCATGGATAAAGGCCATTCGAAGGATGAATTGGGAGCCTACAAAATATTCACGATTATGTTCTGAACACTTTTCTGAAGATCGAATTGACAAATATTCACAACATCGTGTTTATCTCAGAGAAAATGCAGTGCCTAATGTCTTCAAGAATTTTCCAACTTATCTTCAGCAGGTATATTTTTACATACATTTATTTAATCAACAAATTATAAATTAAATATTTTTGAACATAAGCAGCTCATGGTATTTAAGTATAAAGAAAACCATTTTTCATCAAAGAGGTTTTTCATTAAATGTTAATAATATAACATAGTTAAAAATAGCATTGAATTAATATTGTTGCGGGGGCAGTTTGTAAATATAAGGATTTTGTACAGAGTTACAACAATTTTAATCAATTGTTTAAAACCTTTGGCCAACTGATTTAAAAAAAAAATATCTAAAATATAAATAAAATTTTGTTGTACATTATTAAATAACTAGTAAAAGAAAAGATTAAATGTTTTCAAGAAAAATGTGCTGCCATTAGTTTATTGTGTTGCACTAATTTATATCTCAGTCATCATACCCTGATAATCTACTACTTCATGAAAATGCTTTGCCCACCAGCGGCCGAGCGGTAAAGTCGCTGAACACTGGTAGTTCGGTCCGAGGTTCGAATCCCGCGAACGGGCTGGCTGCATGGTGTTTTCGTGGTTTTCCCCATGTGTAACGTGTATACGAGCCAGTTTCCCTTAGAAAGTCCTCCACGAAGGCATCCCTCCTCTTAGGCAGATAGCCCTCGAGGCTTTGCCATAATTAAATAACCTAACCTAACCATGAAAATGCTTTATAAGCAGTGTAGCCAAAATTAATGGAAAATCCAGAGCTATTTATTGAAATATGTGGTATGAGAATTAAAAAGTAGAATCAAAGGTACTTTTCCGTTTTGCTGGCGCAAATCTTGCCAAGCAGACTTTGTTGGCGACAGCATACAGTATACACATAAAAAATGTTAACAAAAGTTAGTTCTAAGAATTTTTTATTTTGAAGGCATAAACATTTAAATATGGTTTAAAATTTTATAAAAAGACCAGTAAATAAAGACAATAAATTTGTAAAAAGACCTTGATTTAAAATTTACTATGCTTTCATGGTTCAACATTCTGATTTGCTGGTTCCTATCATGTGACCCCAAGTGATCTCATCTCACATAAACTATGCTTCAAAAAACTAATTCTCTCAGTAATTATCTACATTAATTTCAAGTTAAATCTTAATTTGGAATACAAGTTTAAATGAAAGAATTATTTAAATTCGTACGAATAGCTTACTCCGGAAATTTATGTAAAACCGAAGTGCTTTACTTCGGTAGTGCATTCGCATTAGAATTGATGAATTTAACCCTTGATTTTGCCTTTTCTATATTTTCGCCTTCGGGTGAGCGGTGTGATTGCATCCTAATTGGCTTAATTAATGCGAATGGTCTTAGGGCATTAAATTTAACTATCTAGGTAAAACTTCTATGTAATTGTATGCCAGTATTAGAAGAAACAATCAATCTGATAAGAAAAGACTGTGACTGGTTTTGAAAATGAAGCGTAAAAGGTTACGAGCGAAAATATTCTGTTTGGCATCAGTTGTACCATTATTGGCGACTTTATGGTTTGCACTGGCAAAACGGAAAAGTACCGAATCAAATTTCATAATTATTTATATGGGCTTATAGTTTTTTAAAACTTTTTTTCGAGTGGGTTGATTTTTTAATAGCATTAGAACCTAAATTAATTAGGCCTCTCTCTGTTAGTCAAGTTCTCTATCAATCAAGCCAGCAATCAGTCATCGTAAAGTAATCTGGAAAAATGTAGTAACATTAGAATGGGACTGACAAAATCGGTAACATTTGCAAATTCTTTTACGAGTGTTAATCTTTTGGCCTTTTTTTTTAAATCAGTGATGGGTCATTTAATTGTATTCCATGCATTGTGGTAAAAGATGTGGTTTATGTAAAATAATTTTGGTTTAAAAACAAAGTATGACTCTGTTGTAGATTAGATTAGGTGTATGTTAATTGTTTAGTACTTAATAGCTGTGGCATATTAAATTGCTGGTACTCTTCTGTTAATGGGATTGGATTCAGAAATGTACGTGTGTGTGCACATATGTATACACATACATACAGGTGCATTTACATATTTACAGAGGGTAATCACACATTTTTGTAACAAGTTTGCAAAGATTTATATATAAACAAACCTTAGAATTTTATTTTCTAACATGTTGAATCTAATAGCCCTTTTGTTGAACAATCATATTACATCTTGATTTCCAAGATAAAAGTCCTTATCTTAAAACATCAGGGTTGATTTTATTCTACTCCTCCTTCATATTCTTTCAGAGCCCATCTAGTGTTTTGGGATGCTGCTTTTAAAGATCTTGTTTAAAAGTCCAAATGCACAGTAATCCATAGGAGAAGCATTAGGGAATTTGCCTGGGATGCATTTAAAGGGAATAGCTTCAATTCCGGTTTCATTTCTCATTTTTTCAAAAATAAATAAATAAACCAATAGATTTAGAGGTAATGTAGTGTGGTGATAAAAGCTGCTTATAATGTAGGTTTATCTTTCTGTAACTTGGGGGAGGTGTGGGGGAAGAGCACTAATTTTTCTGTGTTGAAGTTTCTTTTTGATATATTGATTTATGGTACACACTGGTTGTTCTAGAAATATAATGTTTAGAGACATTTCATAATAGAATGTGTCTCTAGATTCTTGAATTAATAAACTGATCGCCTGATTCTTAGTTTAATTATGCATTACATGCAGGTATTTTCAATAGCTTTAATTATTTTGTTTTAGGGTTCCACTCTTTTATCTAACTGCTAAATGTGTAGGAACTTTGTGAACAGCTAAGCGAATAATCGCTTTAGTTTATGAACAGAGACGTAAACTCAAGAAGGGTTAATTATCCTTTATTTCTCATAAGAATAAGAATTTATTTCTCATAAGAATTTAACAGCCGGCTCCTTTCAAAGAACATACAGCAAAGCCTCCACGTGGGCTTCAACTCAAAGTAATCAGAAATAAAACTTAACTAATGCTTAACTAAAAGATACAGTCAAAGCTATCATGATTTTAAGTAGTTGGCCCCTAAATAGCAAATAAGCTGGCAAAGCTGTCAGGGGCCTGAAATACGGCCGAGCATAGTAATAGCTTAAAGAGAGGCTTAGCCAAACAGCGAAACGCGCAATACTTAGAAACTCTGAGGCTCTAACGAGGCCAGTGGAACTTCGACTTAAATACCATTCTTATTCATCTGTATTAAACGCAATTCTAAAAACACATTTTCGGTAGGAAATTGTAAGCTGAAATTAGGAAGGACAGGAAATTAGCTTAAACTAAAGATAGCTGTTAAAAACTTAGGATAAACCTTGCAATGTAATTTTAGTATGCAAATATTACTATCCATATGTTAAGCATAATGATTTCAAACTTTTGTATATATCCTTAATACTGGTAATAAATATAGATACTTATGTATTACCAACACCTAGGAATATGCCACCAAAACTGCTCTAAGTAGAACATTGCAGCAATTTCATAAGCTGCTGCTGAGTGGTATCTTTGGTGATGTTTTGCTGCATGCTGGCTAGCACCATAAATGTATTTTGAAAGACATTTCTTGATAAGTAGTGTATATTTTCATGTGTATGTATGAACTTTTTCTTTTAATTCATGTGGAAATAAGGTATCATTGAGACCAAGCTTATTTCACAGGCATTTAAACATTTAATTTATTTTTTTTATTATATATGTAAGCAATATTTTAAGTGCGTAATGGTGATGGCTGAGTGGAAAGGCCAGGAAGAAGACGTTGACAAAACTAAGTTTGGCAAATCACCATCTTTATTTTTAGGTACATCAAAATCATTTTCTTTATAGGCAATGTACTTTTTGATCATAAGCAATTACAATAATTTTTATGTACACAGGTAGCAAGACATCATCTTTGGTAGGAAAGGCATAACAGCACATAGATCTTTGCAGGAGTGTCTTGTCAGGAGGAAAGCTTAAATGAAAGTGTCACAGCAATTCAGAGAAAGAAGGGAGGAAGTCAAAAAGTTTCAGCTCGAGTTAAAAAAAATTTGGTTTACAATTTGGGGATTGCTCAAGAGTATCTGCATTAAGCGTTATGTAGGATCACATGATTAATTTGATTTATGCAATTTAGACATATAGTACTAATTTTAAGATAAAGAGGGAAAGTCCCCGAATTAAAAGGAAAAGAAAAGAGGTTATATCCAATTAAAATTAGAAGTTTACTTTCATATTTTCTATCTATACATATAATTTGGTATTACCTGGATGAAATCTTTGAAAGCAAATAATTTCTTTTTGCATTCCATCCTGGAAAAGTAAACTGGTGTGACTTTTCAGTGTTTCCTTTGAAGCAAAGAACTATTATTTTAAGTGTTAATTGTTTTTGTTTTCATGTCATAAATCATGTCAATAAATCATGTTCCTATATGTTTATTATTATTATTATTAATCTAGCAAGTACTTAAGTACTTAAATTGAAGTTAAAACAGAGAACTATTAAGTGTTGATTGTTTCTGTTTTCATGTCATTTTATTATTATTATTATTTTTAATGTAGCAAGTATTTAAATTACATCCATTTTTGATTTTGTGGTTCAAACAGGCATATATCTTCTTGATTCTTAGTTGTGGTTTAAGATTATGAGTGAATGATAATTCATAATAGGAAAAAAAAAGCAATATTTGTCAAAGTTTTCAATGAGAAACAGAAAATGTTCTGCCATTTAAAAAGAGTTAAAAACTTAAGCAATAAAGACTTTTTGCGCAAAGACTTATTTAAGACTTATTTGCTTTGCAAAATAAATGTCTATCAACATTTATTCTTTAGAAAATAACCTTGTGAATTTGAAAAATTTTTGAAGTACTGACCCAAGAAAATTATGCTTCATTAAAGATGCATTTGACTAGACATGTTCATTAATTTATAAAATTTTAGTGGAAATGTAAAATATAGAATTATTGTAAAAGAGCACTGTAAATAAAATGAGAAGCATAAAGGAGACATATGTGAAATAAAAGTAAACAAAGAGGATTCTGATTATTATTATAAAGTCAACAGTTACTCCAAATGTCAACCCAAAAGGAATCCTTTGTAA